CAAACTGTCATGAAATTCAGCACTGAGTTGCAGGTCAGATTTTTTTTCGTATACATGAGGGCTCGTAGGTTTTGGTTCTGATCAGATTTGTATCTACTGCAGGACTGCTGGGACTGAAAATACAGTAATTAAGCAGCGATGGATACCCATCTCCTCTGATCAGCCCTCATTTATACAAAAAAAATACTGCAGCCCCTATGGGTATGCAGGATGCTAAGTCACTTACTTACCCTGGTCCGACATCGAGGGTCTCCATCAGGATCTGTCAGTTTGCCCCCATATATCGCAGGCAGCTCTTCTGCGTCGATGTACTTCAGTAAAACTTCCTGCCAGTTCGCTTTCAAACCATATAAACAACACTTGTCTAAATTGAATTGGGTAGTTTGAAGAAATATTATTTAAAATAAACTATATGTAATGTCTTACCCCCCAGAATGCAGATCTTTAGCCTTGTGTTCTCACACAGGAAGTGCTTGACAAGGTTGTAGGCCACAGGAAAGAGTTTGGGGGCTGTGGGAGGAAAAAATAAATATTAACCAATAACAGTCAATCAAGCAGGTGGAATCAATTAATTACTCCACTCATCAGTTGTTACCTGTAACACTGTAACATGCATTCATGGAGGAATTTACCTTTAATAACAAAAAGTCTCTTCAGACCCTCTGGGTAGTTGTCTTCAAACATCTGGAGGATCTGGTGATGCAGAGGGACATAGCTTAAGATGCAGACTAACCTCTTAGTTTACTTCACATCTTAGTTTTGTGAGGTCTATGTCGACACTGTATGTGTGTGTCTCTGTACCTCTCCATATGTTTCTATAGCAGGTTTCCATATGTGCTTCAGACCCAGACCTTCAACATCATAGATCATGGTGATTGACTCCACATTGCTCCCCAGCTAGAAGAAGTCACAGTGAAGAAGACAGGACATTTTTGAAACTGTAAATAACCTATAAAGATATAATATTAAAACTGCTGTTAATTGTAGTTTGTGGTTCAGTCTTCGCTACCCCCATCCATGTACCCCCATCCAAGCAACCCAAAAGACAAACGCCTCAGTCAAAAGAATGTAGATAAACAATGGTAAAAAGCTGAGTGATAAATTCATATGACAGAAAAAAAAATAATACAATTAAAATGAAACAATGTAAACAAAAAGCCACAAATTATCATTAAAAAAGCTAAGGTAATTTTACCCAAGAAGGAAAATTAAAACAGTGGTACAAAAAATACTGCTGCTCTGTCACAGGGGATAATCTGACAAAATGATATTTTGAGCAGAAAAATAAACTTGGTAATTAATGTTGTAATCACAAATTATTAAGGAACTTGAAAATATGACCTGAACCAGGGTTTTCACACCTTGTAAGATTTCAACTTTGTCTTCTCATAATGTATATCATATTTTAGGTAAGGTTGCTCCTAGTCAGTATTCTATTTCTCTAAAAATTCCCTAAAAATGGGGGCGGGACTAAGGGAAAAGACACAAGTGAGGAAACCGTGGATCCATATGAGAGTCTTGGGATGTACCCATGGACGCTGGATTTGCTATTAAACTCTGTGATTGGAGGTTACATTACTGGCTTTGCACAGTCTCTGATTTTGGACTTGATGAAGTCTTGTTTGGAGGCAGACAGGAAGAGGCCTTTGGGGTCAACCGGTCCAATCACATCATACCAGATGGGACTGCCCTCACGGTCATAACCACACATCCCCCCTGACAGATACTTCTCTATCACCTGCAGACAGCAATTGTAAATGTCAAACAACTGGTTTCATCACTCGTGTACTGGAATATATGTCAAGGAAAAATAATTTCTAAAATTACTCTTAGCTCTACCAAACCTACAGGTCATGGTTTATAAGGTTTAGATGGCTTTACCTCCGGTGGGCGCCAATCAGTGGTTATTGTGTCTACTTTCATCTGTTTTCTGAACTCCAGATGCTGGAAGAAAAATTGAGAGAATATTAAATTCAGCAGTTTAACATGCTTTTTGCTTCCTTGATGACAGCCTACCTGTACATGAGCAGATCTGCCCAGGCACAATACAGTGATTTAAGTGGCTTAGGGGGTTTTATTTAGATGATGGAAAACCTGCCCCATCAGCAG